TTCTATTACTCGCTCAAAAATGACATAAATATAGCTAGTCAAGAAGCCTGTCTCTATTGTTGATATTTCTTTGAAAATGTATCACAGAAATCCAGATAGTCACTGATATATCTGGGATTTCTACTTTCATAAATCGTCCTCAGATTAACTTACATGAAGATATGCCAAGAGTGTTCATAATAATAGGGACACAAATCCTTTTTTCATGTAAAAACTACAGGTTTCTGAGAGTCATATTAGAATTTGAAGATCTTTGTTATATACGTGTTATGGTAAATGAAGTAGCTGAGCAAATAAATGTGCAGTAATGCCTAATGGAGCTTGATATTGAACTTTTAAACATTTATACAGAAGGTTTATGGAATATTATCTTCATATTAACCATGGTAAAACTCTACAAGACTACAAAGTTGTGTATCATGGATATAGCTCTATTAATAAAGAAATATGTATTAAATATGGAGAGGAAGTGGTAACTATTTTCTTGTCATGATATATCATTTTGGTAGTGGTTTAGGAGAAAGAAACATTAAAAGGCTTATTTATGACGGTAACTGACAGATAGGATAATAAGTATGGCTAATAAAGATATTAGTTTTTCTATAGATATGGAGATTTCTATGCTATACATCTAATAACTGTCATCAACCCATACATTTCTTAATTCTAATCAGCACCTTCATATCAAGTCATACATGTATACTCCTGGTGTGGATTCACTTTTCAATAATAGATGACAATTCTCTTATACGCTACAAAATAATTAAAGCTATATATTTGTGGTGTTGTGATCATGTATGCTCCATCAATTCCCAAGTCATCTCCAGTGTGTCTCATTTCCGCATTAAATATAGAAATGTCTAAAGATCCATCTGGTTTGGCCTTCCTAATTAAGAAATTAATTACCAGTAATGAGGACATATGTTGGAGAAAAAGTATCAATTACCCGTCATTCCTACACATGTAGTCAAAATGACGTGGTAATAATTGAAGAAAGCATGGAGGAAAGATGAATATGTATGTAATGTGCCAATCTTTTCGCACAATTTCTCAGTTGAAAGGGATTTCATTAATATAATGTTGATGATTTACATATGTAAAATTAATAAAGATATTTGTATTAATGAAATATTGTAATAGTATATTGATTTCCAGCCACACCAATTTAAAATTTTGTTCTTTGGGAACACTTGTTAAAATTTTGCTTCCTATTTCTAGTAGCTTGTCTCAAAAGCATTTAGACAAAAAGTACTTGTTTCTCATCTCAAAAGGGTTGGTTCCTATTTCAAAAAAAAAAAACTCAAAAAAAAACTTTATTACTTGTCTAGTTTGAATTTTTCAAGTTTTGAAATATCAAACAAAACATTGTTAGTTAAAGAACCCAAAAAAACTATGACATGATTTCATTGCTATAATCAGCACCTAAAAGCTTTATATGGTGTAGATAAACTTTTACCAAAGTAACTTCCAGTATTAAGAAGCTCATTATAATCAAAGGAAACTTTTCTATGTCACCATATGAAATTAAATATTGTTATTGTTAGAAATAATTAGCTTAAAAGAAAGGTTACATTGAATTGCCATGAATAATTCACCCAAAATGGAAGTGAATTGGTTTTTGTTAGGAATTAATGACCCATACAATTTTATTAATGTGAACTGACAAACACCTAACAGGCATCAACACCTAACAATCATTGAAATACCTTACAAATCAATATGGCTTTAACTGTCTCTATAACTCATTAGCTGATGTATAGGTAAATTTTATAATATATTATATTATTATGCACCTCAATATATCCAATTATACAATTAAAATTATATATTAACTTTTTTAGTTTAACATTTTGGTACAAATTTTAAATTCATCAAGAAATAAAACCATGCTATATTTTAGCCATTAAATAAATGGGCAGACATGAAAATCAACTTTAACAGAAATATGAAATTTCCTAAATTTCAATTATTTTTAGATTATGACAGCTTTTTGAATTAATGCCAGCTTGCATTCAAGCAAATATCAATGACTTTTCAATAGATAATGAGAATATTCGATTAATTTCAATCAGATTTCTTCGTGTGTTCATTGCCATATCTTGCCTGATTATTCACCGTCACGTATTGGCAAATACAAAAGGTCCAATATTTTACCAAGGGACAAAAGTCCATAATTATTCTCCACCATGTTGAGGATAGCTGAGCGACATTCGCCAATGATACAAAAGACCCCCTGATGAAACTTCCAATTTAGTCTGCCCACATAGACCAAAGTTCGTTAGACAAAAACCTTGATACAGAATAATTGAAAAAGTAATATTCTCACTTTACATGTACAATTGAGCTGCACACGAACAAATTTACTTCATTGTGTACTTTGCCTAGAACCAATCAAACATATCGATTCAACTTATACATCACTCTTAATTATACAATAACAATAATATCTACAACCATTACATATGTATACTTTATACATGCCATATTCTAAAATATTTATCATAATTAAATGAAAATAAAAAAATGCAAATTTCAAATATGTAAATTTTCAGACTGTAGGTCAACAATACATGTATTTCTTCAAACAGTTTGTGTGAACTTCTAGATTTGACAATAAGAAGTATTTTGTACTGAGCATGACTTTGTACATAAAAACATATCCACATTTTGTTGGACAATCAGTGCAGGAAATAAACTAGACTTTTTTTAGAAAGTTGCCCAGGCGGTTGAGAGGTGACAACTAATTCCAACAAAATGTTGAAAGTGTCTTAGAGCGAATGATGATCATTTCCTTATCATTCATTATGCAACAACTAATTTGATTTCTAGGGTTCAGTATGAATAATTCAATAGTCTGAAAGACAACAAATTACATTCTACTTTTTTTGACAAAAAATGGATGCCATTGTCATCAGCCATATGCCACTCAGTTTCAATTCTTTTGCTCAATAAGACACGATAATGCGTTAAAACCCAATTGAGATCATTCTAATTTCATTACTTCTGCTTCCAAAAATTAAAACAAGAGCTAAACAATGTCATCAGTAAAATAAATTTCGAAAGATTTGTAAATGACCTTTAGTTGGGACTTGGGAATTCCAGGATACATTGATTTCGTATGTCTAATTAATGACGTGAATACTATTTTCATAAAGGTTAGAAACAGCTAAAAAAATATAACTTGCATGCAAATCAAATAAAACTTTTTTTAGAAGTCGTTTTAAAAAAAGTATGCAAGATGAAATCAGATGAGCTATTTGAACAAACTGAAATCAAGAGAGAATATCTAAACCTGAAAATTGTGGAAAAGATGAATTCCATTTGGTTGAACTTCTAGGAAGGAGATAAGCCAAGTGAATTGTTCAAGATTAGATTTTAATTACTGGACAAGAGAGTTTGCAGATGGTGACCTTTATGGTACAACATGAACACTGGAGAAAATGTATTAATTAACTGGTGAAGGATTGTGTGTTTATTGTAAGAATATTGGTAATACTTTATATCAATATGGTTATTGTTAGTAGAACACATGGTGTCATACATTACCGATAACATCAACCATAGTTCAACACCAATTATTATACACATGCTACCATATCTAATCTATAAGCAATTTAACCAACCAGTCTCTCATCAAGGTAATCCTCATTGTACTATTGATGTTGCAAGGTATTGGGAACCCAATAAAATTAATATCAAAGATACATTTATATCTTTAAAAAGTAGCATGTCACCTAAATATCAAATTTCTAGACTAATTCATCTATGGGGGTGATTTTTTTTTACAACACATGCCTAATAAAAGACATAATCAGTCAAAATAAAATTGTTTAAGTTAACAAGGTGAATTCAAACATTTTGCAGTCCCTATACTGACCTTAAGTCCACCTCAAATTAATCTCTGATTATGAATAACCTATGTGAAAGTAGATGAAGATCAAATCGTCTCCAGAAATGAATGTTAACGGTGCGGGATGGTAGGGAGGAACCATTTTAATAACACGTCTAACGCATACATCCCATAATCTATTGCACTATGATTGAAGTCAGAACTCGGAAGTTGGAAGTTGGAACTCGGTAGGACTTCCGTACTGTCTGGATATTTCCTTAAACATTTCTCCATACCGTAAATTCAAAAGAGAGTTTGGTATATGGCTTGAATGATAGTAATAGCTGATATCTAATGTAAGTTGTCTTGTGGTACATATTTTAACTTATATACAACCCCATTAAGACAAGAATGGTGGTTGATATACAGATTTAATTGAACAAGATTACCAAGAATTACAGAGTTACAGCTAAATTATGCATGAAACATCATAGCTGTGTTTTAGTGGACAGCATATTGGCTTTACCCCTACCGTAAATAATTGAGAAGCCTGTCTCACGAACTGTAACAACCTTCAATTACACAAAACTCAAATCCCATTTAATGATGTTTGATGGTGACTTGAAGATTATACAGATTGTAAGAATCTCCCATGAGAGAAAAATTGTCTGGTGAAATAATTGATACCTAAAATTGGAGACTTATCTTCTTGAATCAATTAAGGGTTTATATTCTGGTTAAGCATGCAACTGACTTACATTTAGCTGTCATCATTCTGTAGATATTTCAAGTATTGGTTCTTCTAATTTACAATTCTATAGAGAGGAAAATATATACGCTCATGTATTTTCACAATAAAAACCTTTCTATTTTCTTCAACAATTGTTTTTATCTCAAGATGTCACAAGACAAGAATGAAGAAAAGAAAAACTTAATTTCGAAAACCATAAATTTTTATATATATAACAGATTAGAAATTAGGCACTCATAAAAATATATCATGACGTCAAGATGTCAAAATCAAAGAAACTTCGGTAATTTGACACTTTTCGGCAATTTGGAGTATGGTACTAAAAGGGTTAATTTGTTAATACCATTCAAAAACTATATTTAAGTTACAGGTGAAAGTAAAATATTATAATAAACATGTCCTCGTTTTTATTTTCTTCAGTGGATACGTACCATGGCTTTATGTATGTACAAGAAGGTAATGATAAATCAAGAGTTATATTTGATTTAAATGGTAATTTAGCAGGAATGCAGACAATGGTAAGTATAATATTAATATAATAATAAAACATTGCTTCCATTTTAACTCTTGAGCTATAATTTCCAGTCATGGCACGTAACATATAGCAACAAATTATCGTTTCATCTCTGCTTGTGTCAAAAACTGCTGTTATGCAACAAAGCAGCAGGCAAATTGGCCGTAAAACAAATTAAACCACAAAAAATATGTGCTAAGTTTAGCTCACAATTCATCCCCATAATTTGCGAAATCCATAGAGGACAGACATATGTCAGATAAGAGTGGCCATTACCATATTTCTCTGGAGGAAGGAACAGATTTTAGCGCAGGCATTTTGTGAATTACAATTTTGAAACCTCATGAGATGTTGTAACACAATGTCAGTCTATGATGTTACTTGATATGATGAACTATTAAGAACTGAAACACGTAAGATTTGCTAACACTACACACTGTTAATTCACTTAGTATATCACCAGGGACTGGCTTTATAAAATTTTGTTAATCTAATATCTTTCCTCATCTTTTGTCATCCTGTACGTCATTTCAATCAATTTTCTTGTAGAAGCTGTATTCATGCTATCTAATGTTACATACGTGGCTTAAATACAACTGCTCCTATTGGGCAATCAGAGTTGTCTTCCTGCAGTATCATTCAATTCAACTAGATGATTGATTAAAGTGCCCATAACATATATCAGGAGTTTTCTGAGAAACAAAAAATTCTTTAATCTGATGGTTTATTTTCTCTCATTCTATCCACAGTGGCAATTTGACATATTTGTTAACTTTAAGCCACAATCTCTTGAACTGGTCTTATCTCAGTTGACCAATCGTTCCCCACATTCTAGTCATTGTTTAAATTCCTTTTGGGATCCTACATAATTTGTTTTTGTGAAGTCCCACAAATTAAAATCATAATTTAGCAACGTCTTTCTTAATGTTTCCTGCATTCTTACATGAAAAATGCACCAATACAGTTTGCGTCTGACAAGAATTAGAAATATATGTGCCGAACAAAATGACAGGTACCAGATACACTGTGCTTGAAAAAGCCTGGATATGTGGCAGTGGTAGTTGGCTTATTTCCAGGCTTGTAACTAAAGTGTTTAGGGACATATCAGATGTGTTTGTTTATGACACTGTGTTAAATATGATAAAGTGAAAGGTATGGATTCAGTAATCACAGATCAAATTATCTTAGGGGTGGTGTATATAAGCACAAGAGCAACTCAATTATCCTTCAAGCAACTTAGCTTCTGGAGTGTTTACAGTATAACTTCCTATTATTAACCACCAATATTGGGCAACATTTATATAACTGGTTGATTTTTTTATGACAATAAAACTAACCGTTATCGCTAGTTATATAAACTTTGAGCAACTTTTAATCTGCAGACTGGAATAAACTATTTTAAAAATAAATGTTAGAGCAAGAGACTGGATCTAGTGTGTATAATATCTCTGCAATGCTCACAACTCAGTCTATCAAAGGGCTGCTTAAACTGATTAGGTATAACCTTCAGCTGGAAAAAAAATGATTCCATATCAGATGAGGTTCATGTTAAAAAGACTTTCTGCACAAAATATTCCAACAGTTTTAAAATTAATTCAATAAGAGCATCATGAAGCATTACCAAATCTTGTATTTCTACTTAACATAGTCATTATGATAATGAAAGAGTAATAAACGTGAAGTAAATTTCCTCTATTTTGGAAATGTAATCAGATTATGTTCTATGACTAATGATGATTTATACAATTAACCTCTTCTTAATTCTTAACTAAAGATTGCATGATTAGTGTGTATTAAAGTCATGATTTATGTGATTCTTGTTACTCACTGACAAGCACCATCTTGATTAATACTATTATTTTCATCATGCGGACTGTGATAAAACAATAGAGCTAAAAGTGTCAATAAAATAGAAACATAGATTGTGGTTGGATATGTCATTAAATGAATATAGTAACAGATATTTCATCCAATTATTTAACTTATTTCAGATTCCTGGCAATCTCAAAGGTTTCAATTCCAAAAATGAAACAATTCGTCTACCACCAATTGGTATCATACCACCAATATTACTTGATGTCGAAAGAGGTCCAAAAGGAATGCAAATGTACACTATAACAGGTAATACATTTTGTCAATATACTATAATTTAAAACATGTATTTATACATTACGTGGATTAAGTTTTGGTAATCATGCTATTTAGGGTTGTATTTATTTTGGAAAAAAACAGGTCATGACCAGGACACAGTGGATATCAACAAGGTAGGTGTCCCTGTAACTAACATCTTCAAGTAATATTTTTTTTTTTACTATTTTGACTTCTCAGTTGGAATACATTTTGGGTAGCCACACAGTTCTTTAGAATAACAGAAATTGATTCAAGAATACATTTTAGCTTTTTTGGTGGTTTCATTGTACAGAATTTTGCACAATACTCCAATCAGGTTCCAGTACCAAAATCAACAGCATTCTTTCATTACACAAAAGAATAGCCATACTCTCACAGAATCTCTTTGGATGTCTATCCAATAATCAGATAATGAAATTAGAGACTCTCATTCTAGTTTTAATCAAACTTTCTCCACCTCAGACTCATTCATATAAATGTTTAATTAAAAAAAATTCTTATATCTTCCTTTTATGCTGTGTGGTGCATGTAACATATAGAGAATACTGGTTAAATTACCACGGATAAACATCTTAATAGTCATGTTATTGTCTTGAGAGAAGAATTAAATCCGAAAATAAAGGCTATCAAAGATATCCGTCTGTCTAATACAACTAGTGATTAGGTTACAGGTAATATATAGCAACTCAGGTAGGCTTGATCACTACATCCCTTTTATCTCCACAAATTACTTCTTTACTAATGTTTTCTGTCCAAGCTCTAATCTGTTTGCGTAAGTACCTTAATTAGATTTGCCAGTTAGAGTCTAATAGGTTACGTCATGGCATAAATAGATCTATTTTTGTAATAGAAACCATAGCATCTTGTCCTTTTCTCTTCCGAGAATTCTCCTTTTATAGCAACTGGGATTACAATTGAGATAATAATAAATCCTTCCCAGACTAACAGGAATTATCTTGAAAAAGATAATTTATTGAAGAGTTTGTTATATTGATTTCAAAGTATACAACAAAATAAGTTCAATTTATAGACTACAGAATAAACCTTTTAATGACAAAATCTTTGATAATCTCCAATAAAACATATGACAATGAATTAAGATATAGATAATAGAATAGATGGTAATCATATAAACAAATAAAAATCACAAATAAGATCTGACCACATTTTAATCAAAGCATAAGTAATCTCGGGATATGAGGGGGACTAACTTCTTCTAGTAATATCCACATGGCACAGACAGCTGGGCCTAGTATCCGTCTGGCCAATTGGACCACCGTCTTGATCTTGTTAAGATAACAAAGAAAGAGCAACGTAGGGGGAAATCATTTTTCATAAGCCACAAGCCAATAGTAACAATTAGATTTGCACTGAAATTGGACATGCATGATTAGTGAAGGCAAACATTTCATTAAAAACAGGTTTATTCAATTCATTAGAGTTAACTCTTGTGATAACATTACTAATCACTTCATTAGATCTTATTTACACATTCAGTAATTCAACCCGATAGCACCATGTACTTTAAAATATACCATTTCCTATCCTAAAAATATCTACAACAAAATCCATCAAGAAGATGACAAACATAAAAAGTTAATTAAAACTCAATTATTAATTTTTGTAATAATTTGGATGATTTTTAATATTAAGATGATTAGTTAGATTTAATAGAGGGGGGGGGGGTGCATGAAAGAAGTTTTTTTTCCCAGGCACATCAAAGGTATGATCAATATAATATGAATTATGTTTCCAGTGAAAATTAAACTTGTTGACATATTAATCATAGTGACATGACCCTATTCCCCCTTCACTCTAAAACATCACAACTAGAAATAACAAACTAATCTGACAGCACTGTTGAGCGTCACTTTAAGAAAATATACCATATTTTCGATATTTCAATGCATAATTTTCAATCACATCTCTGGCAAAAATTCAATTATGGTGTTAATAAGAAGTAAATACTAGCAATTTGGGATACAAAGAGAGAGGCTAACCAAGTGATGCCTCCCTCAGGGCATATTATTACAAACTTGCCAAGCACATCTATTAGTATTAAACTGATACATCTGTTGAAAGAGGCAAAGGTTACTTTCTCTGCCCCTGACCCAAGGGGCAAATAAGTAGCAAGGAAAGTCAACATCTTGTGCTTTGAGACAAAATATCTCACAGGTGGAGGCAAATTATCGGCATTTAGAATCGCTTAATCTTGGCATATCTGGCCTTTTATCTGAACAAGTTACCAGAGTGTATTTCTGGTATCCTATGACAGTTAATGCTGAGCTGTTTTTTCTCAAACAAAGGGGATATAGAAACAAACAATATACACCTTCCATCTATTGTTAAAAGATGAACAATATAATATGTCTATTTTTTGTCTCTACAACTCTCACATCCTGTCTACAGGACTTCATACACCAGTTTATTATTATAGGTTTCACATAGTCTATTGAATTCATATAATGTAGATTATAAACTATGAAAAGAATGCTAATAACCAAAACACAATTCCTATATTCATATATAAATCAATACACTTTCAATATCCTTTTCCTTCTTTGAACTTCAACAACTTGGTTATTCTAGTAATGTATGAATATAACAATCAGTTCTAAAACATACTGAGACGCAATGAAAATGAAGCACTTTAATAAATGGATTATTATAAACTTCTTTTGAGGAAACAGTTTCATCTTGCAAAAACAACAGATCACGATAACATCATCGGATCTCTCAAACAAAAAAATTGCATTTGAAAAATATGAATGTTGGAAATCATGATTTTATGGTGCAGACGTTGGGTATTATATGTGTATTTTAAAAGGCTAGGGTCATTATAACTCATACAGTTCTGTGGAATATGCAACAATATGCCAAATTTGACACCTGAATAATGAGAATGTGCCATTACACATTACAGCATGAGTACCAGAGTCACTGGAAGCACTTTAAAGTAAAGGTGTTATGGTATCTGTGAGTGGCTGAATTTCTGGTGTGGTAAATGTTCAGTCTGCAATCATGCCAAATATTACATTTCAGCTACATTATATCCTGCCAGCACTTCTAGTCAAATCAGTGGTGCATTGTCATTGCATCTCAGTACAGTTCTATTTACACAAATCCAATTAGTTTGATTTTGTAAAAGGAATGAACATTAAAATGAGGGTTTAATAAAAAAAAATAATTGGAGATCCCTTCTATTTTCTTTTTCAGCTTATTTCAAACATCCGAAGTTGATATGCAGTCCATATGCTCCGAATGTTAGCCCAGGTAGAGGCTTCTTTTTACAGACAGGCTACAATGTTGAAGAACATTATGAACAAATACCATTAAGTGCTAGGCATTTAAGTCCAGACTGGGTAGCACATACCTGCAATCCAAAAATGGGTAAGTACTTGTATGATAGTTGAATAGCCATTATTCTCGAAGTTTATTGATTTATCCATGTCCTGGCTATACTAGTATCTTGCCAATACACTATAACTCTAGACAAATAATGCTCTAAGCCGAAAAAATCAATTCAACAGTAAATGAACTTTATTTCTCAAAGGTACAATCTTTCATTTTAAAAAAATCAACAAAAAAATGGAAAATAAATTCAGAAAGTAAAGACCATTGTTTAAAATTCCATATACCGGTAACCGAAATTGAAAAATCAATTTTCCAATAAAAATGTTAACGCAATTCCTTAGAGACATAAACCGAATCATGCCTGATTTACGTTTATGCTTTATTTAAAACAAAATTCAGTAACACAAGTCTTCTACCATTTTGAATTGTTCACATTTTGTAAAGATATTAATAGGCCTACATATTGGTTAATCAATAGCTTAAGCTAGAATAGAAAGTCACTACAAATTGGACAAAATATTAGATATCACAATTTTCCAATTTTCAGGCTTACACTATTTCAAGAAATTAACACCCAACATGAAATGTGAGGATATGTATCCAGTATTTCTGATGTATAATTCAGAAGGACAGCTTGGGGCATTTGGTTGGTCATTTCAAGGAGCTCCCTCACCTTTCTTAGAAGATGACCTGACATGGTTTCGAATATCACCTCAGTATTATCCGGTAGGTGATTAACACTAGGTTCTATCTCTTTTAATTAGTATTGCAAACTGAGCCCATTTGCTGAAACATTGGATGGGAACTGGTGCAAGTTCGGGTTTATTACAAACAATTAAAGGGGAATAACTACAGAATTACAATCCAACTGATCATGCAAAACATTCATTGATCAAGTATCGAATATTTATTTTCTTTTCAACTTTTTTGCAGTTTGTGTTTGATACATCACAGCTACCCTCCTGTATGTACAATAAAAATTTTCAAGTGTTTGGCATACATGTATGGCTACGTGATCCAGATACTATGTTGTGTCCTGTTGTTAAGGTACCAATGAGAGATCGTGAATATCGAACCACCACCCGCTCTATGACAACCACCACAGAGAGGAAAATAGATAGCAATATTATCGTGGATAAGATAATAAGAGACAGTTTTAGTAGTGGTCATTCAAATAATTCTTTAATACATTTAATACTATTTAATTCTCTAATTGGTTTACTCTTTTGTTCAACCAGCGTTCAGATGACAATTGTATGCTTTTGTGTGAGCTTAATAAATAGTTTCTTATAGCTGTGTTATCATACTATCTTGCACTGTAAATATTTAATAAGTAGCAACATATATCATCAAGGAAGGGAAAAAAGCAAAATGTGTAGAATTAGTATTTAGAATACCCAATTATAGATTCGTACCAAAAACATACAGCACTGAGGCTAGAATATAATTGTTAATGAGCGGGTCAGGGGGGTAAAACCTTTGTATTTTCTTCCTTGATATATATGTCAACTACCGGTACATTTAAAACTTGGTGACCTTATACTAACGTTTGCTTAGGCAGGCACGGTATTGAAAATCTGTTTAAAATTGTAACTGAAAATTAAAGTTTGTGCGATGTGGCCACCGAGTTTTAAATATTTTTTTTTCATTAACTATGTGATAATTTGTTGGAACTTTTAAATGCCTTATATTAAATTATTACACCTTGCAAGCTTTAATCAGGAACCAAAAATACTGACTGCACACCTTTTATCTTGTATATTGATAACAAAACAGATTAATACCATTAATATAAATTTACATGTATCTATTTTAGTAATATCAATTAACATACACCTTGTATATTAATAATAAACAGATTAATACCATTAATAACAATTTATATTTATCTTTCCAAATATTGCAAATCTAAAGATAATGTGAACATTGTTAAAAAATAAAGAAACGGGAGGCTTTCCAAGTAGTTGGACTAGCTCTCTCTCTCCCCCCCCCCCCAAAAAAAAAATTCTGATGTAATTCAATTTTACAATTTCTAGGTAGCTAACAAACTATTTTCCTGAATCCCCTTTTACACAACAGTGGATAAATGGTATTATTTGGATTAATTATTTATAATATATCTAAAGGTGTAAAGACTAATTTTAAATCAGACCGTCACAGAGACCCTATTGCTTTAAATTCCTTTAAACAGACTTCTTATATAATTTGTATTAGATAAATTGTACAAAATATAATAATTGATAGTAATGGTACTAATCAGAGTGTCATTGGTTCCATCTCCAAATATATTAGTGTTTGTCTTAAAATCTCTTGTCAAATTATGTCAAAAACTCATTAAAATATGAAATTTGGTCATTGTAGGTATGATGTATAGAATAAACTGGTTATGGAACCATACTGAAAGTGATAGTATAAGAACATAACATATCATTTTACATGTAAAATATGAGTTCTACATTGAGTATAACAATGTGTGGTTAATACAATTATTGCCTTTCTACATTGATTATATAACACTGTATGCAAGTATGAAATTTCTTTTCATTAATTTATGAATTTTTATAAATACATGTCGACAGTCATTGCACTTTTGTAAGCTTAAATGTGAATTTGTCATGTTTGCTATTTAATGTATAATATGTAATCAAGAAAAGTATAATACTTTTTTTTCACTGAAGATTATATAAGTCTATACTGTTGAGTTCCATATTAATATCTATATATACTAACCTTTTCTTAGAGTTAGTTTAGAATCGAATAGGAGCTAATTTATTACTTACTAGATTAATGTGCTACATACATGTACTTATTACATGAAAGACTTCAATGTTTTTTTTTATATTAATCTCTAGTTTGGAAATTTATAATAGTACATCTTATTATCTTTTTTCTATTTCATAATTATTTATTCATTTACCATTAAAAATGAGTAATTGCCGCTGGGGTTTACAATACCTTAAAACTAAATTGCCATACACGAATGTATGAAATATATATATGTATACTTTAAGTGCTTATTGTGATTAAGTCCATATTATTGCATTTGAAAATAAAAAGTGCAATTTTCAAGCAAGGTTAATAAGACCTGTGCTTAAGATATTACTTAGGGAAAATATTTTTTGTTTTGTGTAAATGCCTGTGAAATATATATATATATATATATATATATATATATATATATATATATATATATATATATATATATTGAGAGACTGAACTATAATATTTACCTAGATTCCATCTTTATTTGTTCTGTTATGAAGAAATTACAGAGCTTCCTAATAATATGTTATATAATAGAACAATAAGATATATAGATATATATATATAGTAAGTAAAATATAAGTTAGCCTGTAGTTTATAAATTATATATCATAGTCAATATCAGATGAATGAGTGAACACAGGAATTAATACTCTAATTCATTTACTTGTACATTTTGTTAATAATATTAAGAGCTGAAATTTAATTTATAACTGTAGAAATCATTAATGTATTATAGGTGTATATAATTTTATAAAAATATGTACATTTTTTTAGTTTCAAATTTATTTTTCTTACATAAAAAAATAGAAAAAAGGTAAAATATGTCCAGTATATTTGTGTGTGCCGCCTTAATTATTTTGGTGTGTATGTGCTTTTTTTAGTGTTGCATCTGTCTATACTTTACTCATAATATTATAATATATATGTCATATAGATGCATGCACTACAACATGTAAAGCACTTTTTCATGATGAAAAACACTTATCCTTCTATTGATATTATTTGTAGTTAAATTCACATTATCTGTTCTGAGAAAATCACCATCATTCACTTGCTGTATTATATTGTACAAAATTTCTAAGAAAAATATTTATTAGAAAATTTAGAGTATTTCTATTTGATACGATGTTGTTTTCAACATCCATTAATATCTTGACAAGCAAAAGTAATAAATGAGCTAAAAGCTTGACTAGTTTCATAGTTTGATGTGTTAATATTTACATAATATTTTAACTTTTTGGAGGAGGAGAAATATTAATTACTTTCTTTAATTTACAAAGATATTAATACTCAGACCTCTTGCTGTGCAGAGTCAATAATTTGAATATTATTGTAGTTACATTACATGTATACGAAGAAATAACAGATATTAATATGTCATCAAACGTAAGATTATTCCATCCCTATCAATATAAGTCTGATGAAATCAACTAATTCCAATTGCAATCAGTAAAAAATTAGGACTGTCAACAATGTTTATTTCTGCACTACATATTGTAATTGTTTGTATTTGTATCAATTTGCAGTATGTGCCGAATATATGTTTATTGTTATATTGTAAATAGTCATCATATGAACACACACCCCTTTCATGGGATTCATTATAAAATGTTCACAATACAATGATATTGTTATTAATATATACATGTTAAAATAATATGTAAGACTAGTGTACAAAATGACACTCATCAAGCATCGTTTGTCTTGTCAACGTTTCAATAAGAAAAAAATAAAAATAATTTTTAAAAACAAACATGTTTTGTCAAATGTTTTGCATCACACAAAGAGAAAATGCCAGAAAAAAAAGGGTTACAAATGTTACCTACCTTGACCTTAAATCATCCCCATCAGTCAAGTTTCTAATTAAATGTGCTCTCTAGAACCAAAGATTATAATACTACTACTATGGGGCTTAACCTCTGGTTCCACCGAGGGTGATATAGCAGTCATGTTCGAGTTCGGCAAGACCAGCATATGGTCATGTTCCTGAAGCAAAGACTGCAAGTTTTACAATATCTAGTCATTGCTAGATTAGTCTGAATTTCCCGAACCTTTAGGTCCACCATCTCCCTTTACCGCAGTCATGTGAACAATAATGTCCAATCAGCGGACGTGATACAAACACATAAAGAAATAGATACGGATACATTTGTTGAAATTTTTAACTTACTAGCATAATGAAAAGTAAAGTAAATTAGAAAGGTTTGGACCAAGATGTGAAGTGGTTCATAACATAATCTTAGCAGAAAGGCTGAGGCTGAAGTGGAAAACTTCCAGCAACCTTGACATTGAGTGATCCTTAACTTTGCAACTCGGTTATCACAGGTGGAAATTTCAGTTGGAAAGCTTAAACATTCTACCCGATTGATTTGAAATTTATACAGACGATTTTATACATGTATACAGCAGGGTTATATGAGACCAACAAAAATCCTACCTTCTTTCGGCTAAGACTGTTGAATAGTTTTAACTGAACTGGTGGCGAGCCTGGAGGTGGTGTCCATAAAGGCTGTGATCGTTTATCTGAAATCACACAAAAAGGTTATGTTTTCATACATTCATTGATTCTTAAAGGGGTACAGTCCCTTATATTTGATTACCGGTAAGTTTGCATATTAAATTGTTTAACTGAATACAAATCTGTTTACACTAAATGATAGATTGCCAGGCAATGAAAAATACACCCACAGCAGCTAAGTCGTCCATGCAGTCCACAAGGGCTGTTGCATATTTATTCTTTTATCTGTAATGCAAGCATTTATAAAACATTAAAGATAGTTTGCCATGCAACAGAACATACGCCCACGCATATTTATTCTTTTGTAGGCAATTGGGGGCATTTACAAGACAGTTTCATACAGAATCAGATTATAATTTCTGTCCTTTGAGGGTTCACAAGGTTCTACAGACACAAGGGCCTTAACTCTGGAAGCAATTTACAGAAAATTTTGAAATTTGACAGGCTTTTTCATTTTACTAATTTAAACAATGCATATAAATTTCATATAGATCGGATGATAACCTTTGTCATTCGAACGTTCACAAGGTTCACAAAGTAAAACAAGGGCCATAACTCTAGAAAAAATATACGGAAATTGCTGAAATTCTATAGACCTCCGTTTCACAAATTTAAATGATGCATATAAATTTCATACATATCGGATGATAACTTTCATCAATCGAGCATTAACAAGGATGAACAAAGTGAAACAATGGCCATAACTCTAGAATTAATTTTTGTAAATTGCTGAAATTCAATTAGGGCTGGCGGAAAATATTGATATTGCTGATAATCGCCGGTAGGCATTTTGAAAATTGATTATCGATACAGTTTTAAAATATCGATTATCGCACAATTATGGGTACTTCACTTGTAAGAAGAAGTCAGTCCATAAAAATAATCCTTATCACTGTATTCTTTGCAATGTGTGCTTGGGCCTACAACTGTAATTTGACTCTCCATTTCTTTTGTCTTCTCTGTTTCTAAGTCAAACACGTACTTTCCCGTTATTAGTTTATCAAGGAATTTGCGAAGAAATGTCTGAAGAGGAAATACTACATTTTACTCATTATTATTCAGGTCATAAGTGACAAAGATATGGCCAGCGGTGGCGGTTATGTCTTCCAAACGAAGTTGATCGAGTTTCTTTCTACACCTTGGTTTTGCTATGGAATGCTATTATTTTATTGTCAAATGCCAAATAAATGAAAAAAATTCTACATGTATACAGAATGATATCACAACATAAACTCGCATATAATTCGTTATTCATGTACAAATTATGATTGTTTTCAAACCAATTGTAAGTCAAAATAATTTGCCGATATTATCCATTATTGATCGGCGGATGGTCGGCGATAATCGATACTTGAAACAGGATCTATTGCCAGCCCTAAATTCAATAAGCTTCGTGGTTTCACTAATCTAAATGTTGAATATAAATTTCATACAGATCAGATGATAACTGGTGGCGTTAAAGCGTTCACAAGGTTCAACAAAGTGAAACAAGGGCCATAACTCTTAGACGTAATAAACGGAAATTGCTGAAACTCAATAGGATTATTCTTTTTAATAATACTACTTTAAATGACGCATATAAATTTCATACAGATTGGCAGATAACTTTAGATGTTAGAGTGTTCACAAGGTTCAATAAAGTGAAACAAGGGCCATAACTCTAGATGTAATTAACGGAAATTGTTGAAATTCAATAGGATTCTTCTTTTTACTAATCTAAATGATGCATATAAATTTCATGCAGATCGGTGCTTTTAATGTTAAGCGTTCACAACACAAGGTGCAACAAAGTGAAACAAGGTCCATAACTCAAGAAGTAATTAACAGAAATTACTGAAATTAAATAGGATTCTTCATCTCACTAACGTAAACAACATATATCAATTTCAAAACAATCGGATGACAACGTTTTGGTGTTAGAGCGTTCATACGAAATTGTGGATGACGGACAGACGGATCGACAGTACAAATTTATTAAAGACCTACACAACTTCTAATATAAATAAACAAAATACCAATACTTCTTTCTTTAAACTAATTTGGGATGATAGGGTCTACTACAGCACACAAAAATAAATTATGCAGTGGCAGACCTGGTTTGTGTCGGCTTTTACCATGGCTTTGCCGTTTGCCGTGGTAAATTTTGAGCGCTGAGTTTGTGTACAGAGTACAGACACAGGAATCTGACCTTCTATCCGTATATATGCATACACCATACTCAACTAGACAATATATAATAAGATAGGTTGCCAGGCAACTAAACATACGGCCACAGCAGCTAAATCGTCCGAGTGGTTGGCAAGAGTTGTCGTATATTTGTTCTTTTGTAGGTAATTAGGGGACTTTAATAGACAATTTCATACAGATGACATCATAATTTTCGTCGTTTGAGGGTTCACAAGGTTCTAAAAACTAAAACAAGGGCTGTAACTCTGGAAGTAATCTACAGAAATTGTTGAAATTCGACAGACTTTTTCGTTTTACTAATTCAAATAATACATATCAATTTCATACAGATCAGATGATAACTTTTGTCGTTTGAACGTTCACAAGATTCAACAAAGTAAAACAAGGGCCATAACTCTAGAAGTAATTGACAGAAATTGCTGACATTCAATAGGCTTCTTCATTTCACTAATTTAAATGATGCATATGAATTTCATACAGATTGGGTGATAACTTTTGTCGTTCAAGCGTTCACAAGATTCAACAATGTGAAACAAGGGCCATAACTCTAGATGTAATTAACAGAAATTTGCTAAAACTCAATAGGCTTGTTCGTTTTACTAATTTAAACGATATCTATAAATTTCATACAGATCGGATAATAACTTTTGTCGTTAAAGCATTCACAAGGTACAACAAAGTAAAAAAAGGGCCATTACTCACGGTGTAATTGACGGAAATTGTTGAAATTCAATAGGCATCTTCGTTGCATTAATTTAAATGATGCATATCAATTTCAAACAGATCGAATGATAACTGTTGTCATAAGAGCGTTCAAAAGATTCAACAAAGTGAAACAAGGACTATAACTCTAGATGTAATTAACGGAAATTGCTGAAATTCAATAAGCTTCTTTGTTTTACTAATCTAAATGATGCATATAAATTTCATACAGATCGGATAATAACTTTTGTCTTTAGAGCATAAACAAGGTACAACAAAGTGAAACAAGGGCGATAACTCACGGTGTAATTAAAGGAAATTGCTGAAATTCAATAGGATTCTTCGTTTCACTAATTTAAATGATGCATGTCAATTTCAAACAGATCGGATTATAACTGTTGTCATTAGAGTGTTCACAAGATTCAAAAAAGTGAAACAAGGGCCATAACTCTAGATGTAATTAACGGAAATTGCTGAAATTCAATAGGCTTCTTTTTTTTACTAATTTAAATGATGCATATAAATTTCATACAGATCGGTTGATAACTTTTGTTGTTAGAGTGTTCACAAGAAGCAACAAAGTGAAACAAGGGCCATAACTCTAGATGTAATTAACGGAAATTGCTGAAATTCAATAAACTTCTTTGTTTTACTAATCTAAATGATGCATATAAATTTCATACAGATCAGATAATAACTTTTGTCGTTAGAGCATTCACAAGGTACAACAAAGTGAAACAAGGGCCATAACTCACGACGTAATTAATGGAAATTGCTCAAATTCAATAGGCTTCTTCGTTTCACTAATTTAAATGATGCATATCAATTTCAAACAGATCGAATGATAACTGTTGTCATAAGAGCGTTCAAAAGATTCAACAAAGTGAAACAAAGTGAAACAAGGACTATAACTCTAGATGTAATTAACGGAAATTGCTGAAATTCAATAAGCTTCTTTGTTTTACTAATCTAAATGATGCATATAAATTTCATACAGATCGGAAAATAACTTTTGTCATTAGAGCATTCACAAGGTACAACAAAGTGAAACAAGGGCCATAACTCACGACGTAATTAACGGAAATTGCTCAAATTCAATAGGCTTCTTCGTTTCACTAATCTAAATGATGCATATCAATTTCAAACAGATCGGATGATAACGGTTGTCATTAGAGCATTCACAAGATTCAACAAAGTGAAACAAGGGCCAACACTCTAGATGTAATTAACGGAAATTGTTGAAATTCAATAGGCTTCTTTGTTTTACTAATTTAAATGATGCATATAAATTTCATACAGATCGGTTGATAACTTTTGTCGTTAGAGCGTTCACAAGGTGCAACAAAGTGAAACAAGGGCCGTAACTCCAGACGAAATTAACGGAAGTTATTGAATTAAATAGGCTTCTTCATCTCACTAATGCAAACAACATATATCAATTTCAAAACAATCAGATGATAAATGTAGTCTGTAGAGTGTTCACAAGAAATTGTGGACGACGGACGGACCGACCGACAGACGGACGGAAGGGGGCGACGGCAATATACGACCACATTTCCATGTGGGCGTATAAAAGAAAGAACAGGAATGCAATGCCTGCTGAAGCCTCGATTTTACCTGCTCTGGCTTCGGCTCGTTTTTTTTCAACAATTCGTTTCGTAATGTCAGGCAATCAAACCTCTGTCGATTCACTCAGTCGTTTTGATTTGCATAAATACTCCCCACAAAACGAATCATAGGCATTGCACTTCTGTTCTTTTTTTTATAATATTATTGTCTAGTTCGGTATGGTGTATGCATATATACGATTAGAAGGTCAGATGCCTCTGGTACAGAGAAGGACGAAGAGGTTTAAATATGGCTGGGTGGCTTTCTTCGATTTTTTCTTTGTGCTGGGCGGCAAAAAATAGTGGTGATCGGATAAAAATTGTGACCTCTAGGGGGACCACAAGCTAAAAACGTGATTTTACATACAATCAAGGGCCATAATTCAGAAAATTAAGATTCGATATACGCGAATATCTAAAGGAACCAAGATCTTTACTTTTTAGGTTATAAACATGTAGTTTAAGTTTTCATCAAAATTGGATCAAAATTTTGACCTCTAGAGGGTCCACAACCTTGATATACCATATTTTTAAACTGTTTGCGTACGATGGGCGGCCATTGTGTCCGACATTATGGTGTTATGGTGATACATGTATTTAATCTTTTGAAGGCAATGGGGGGAATTTATAAGACGATTACATACAGATCAGATTATAATTTTCGTCCTTTGAGGGTTCACAAGCAGCAACAAACTGAAACAAGGGCCTTAACTCTGAAAGTAATATACAAAAACTGTTGAAGTTCAATAGCCTTTTTTCGTTTTACTAATTCAAATAATGCATATAAATTTTATGCAGATCGGATGACAAGTTTTGTCGTTCGAGCATTCACAATGTTCAATAAAGTGAAACAAGGGCTATAACTCCAGACGTAATTAACAGAAATTGCTGAAATTACTAATTTACTAATTTAAAGGATGCATATAAATTTTACACAGACTGGATGATAAGTTTTGTCGTTAGAGCGTTCACAAGGTGCAATAGAGTGAAACAAGGGCCATAACTCCAGAAGAGCGTTCACAAGGTGCAATAAAGCGAAAAAGCGTCATGACTCCAGAAGAAATAATGAAAATTAATGTAATGTAAACAACATATATCAATTTCAAAACAATCAGCAGATCATAAATGTAGTCTAAGAGTGTTTGCAAGAAAGTGTGGACGATAAACCGACGAAGGAGACAGCAATTTCCATGTGGGCGTATAAACACCATCTATGCTTAGCTCGAAAGTTGGAATTTAGGTAAGAGAGCACCTCTGACTATTTTGTTGTTCCAAGTATCCAAGTGTTGAAAATTGGAGTCATTTGGTAATTTGACAGACATTTTATGTACTGAACTTTTCAATTGCGGATGTGTGTGTGTCGCCACCTGGCGCATGCCCCCCCCCCCCCCAACCCCCATCAGGATCCTGGGGGTGCAGTTTAGAACCAGATTCTTGTCTCGGATCACTGGAAAAGGCATTTCCGGGCTTCTAATTTACGCAAATTTCCGGGGCAGGCCACCTGGACCCCCCCCCCCCTCCAGATAACAAACCTCATCTCTCAACCCTCCGCGTTTCGAGATAAGAGATGGTCTTATATAGTTCCACATAGTAAAGTCCAACGCGAATCAGATTGGGCCTCAGTAAGCAAAATTGGCAATATTTTTCATCAAAACAACGATTGATTATTGTTATTTAAAATATTTCTGCCACATCCAACTACAATTAAGCATATAACCCTACCTGAAACGGGTATAAATCATTGTATTTAAAATCGAGACGTTAAGTCGTTACTAGGATTGCCATTTTAAATGGGAGATGTATGATGCTATGATGTATCAAGGCAGGGCTAAATATAAGGCTTTTATAACAGCCAATCAAAAAGACAAGTGGAGAAAATGTAAACAAACATCCACCTGTTCTAATCTATTCGCGAATCATTTCGGAAAATAAAATCAAATTAAAACCCAAACAACAAATTATTTTGGACCTGATAACAAATGGCGAAAAGGATGTTTTTGCGTTCTGGTAAAAGGGGTGTGTAGGGTTTGCGCATATCTAAAGCATAGTAACTATGAATGGACTTCGATGGCGGTGTATGTCGGATAAAAACAATGCTTCATTAATTTAAATGCGAATATATGGAGTTAGGCGATCGTAGTGCCACTATATTGGCCTCTGTAAGTTTAATCAGTCATAATAGTATAAAATTACCTTATTTTTAAGATGTTACATGCATTAATAAAGAAATTAAGTATGCCACTTGGAACTAAAGGCACCAAATTGTAGATAAAAACGAGTATGTCAGAATATCTCAACGTTTTTAGCTACGTTCTCGTTGCTACCCCTTCCTACCCATGGTCTCTGGATCCACCCCTGTTATTCACAGTATCTTCCTTTAATTTTAAATAAATTTAAAGTAAAGTATCTTGCATTCACCAGTCCAATATTATATAACATTTATTATAAATAAAATAATTTGTATTTTCTTTTATTCTTATGTTAACCACAGTAATTTCACTGAAAATTGACAATAAGGTAGTAGGCTACTGTGCGCATTTACTGGTATAGTCTGCAAATTCAAAGTCTGATTTTAGGGCCTAGCCACCTACTTTGCAGTCTTTACAGTGATTGTCTAAGATTTTCCGATATTATTCATTATTATTCACTGACATCAACCATTATAGAGCAGCCATTGTGTATTCATGAACACCATTCATTTAAATATGTAAAATAAACGTTGATAACTGTACTTACTTCGAGTAGAAGACATCCTATTACCTGACAAGCTGTCAATTCTGATGCACACAGACTGTAATGTGTTGTTTTGAATGATGAAATGGGAAGTAGTGGCACGTGTGTACACCGGAAGCAAATAACTTTATGTATTTCTTGTTTCGATGGCTTTCATTGGACATGTTTATCCAATCCACGCCTTCTTAATGTGAAAGATCTAATTTCCGCCATATTGGTTTTATTCGGCAGCATGAGTATTCCAGTGATAATAGATATTGCTGTTCCAGATCAGGTATTTATTTACCGTTTGTTATGTAAATGCCACAGTACAATAGAAATATGACCAATTTGATAATATATTGAGTTTGGGTAATTATTAACCACTAGTTTTTGTGTAATCGATCTTCTCTTCAGTGTTCTACCCGGCCTCGGCCATCCACCTGCCATCTGGTAAGAACCATTTACCATGATGAATTGCCCATGCCGGATTTGGAGATCTGAAAGTGGTTGGATGTTCAAGTCACTTTAAAATTAGTGTGGAAAATCAATTCAGTCCCATTCACAAAATATCAATGTCACCAAAAATGCAGTGACTATGATAACTGTACCGCAATCGGGCGCAGTACGTTGATCCGGCTACTTATTATAGGGTTGGGTTAGGGTTAGTAGTGGAAGTCAAAAGTCAGTCCTTTACTTTATGAAATCATGCGGGATCAAAAATGAGATAAAAGCTCCCATAAAAAACTTTTATTACTTTATATTGCTAGAGTAATTCTACATTTTCATGAATTAAGGAAAGCCAAATTGTATTTATGCTTTAATATTATTTGATATTTTCTTTACAAACGTATATATTCTTATGTTTATGGAAGATAATGCCTTACTTTAGGCTTAGCATTCGATATCAGAATGAAAAGGAAGGCGATGTGTTTGGTGAATATGGTACATTGTAGCATTTGAATTGCCATCATGGAAGCTGATAGCTCGAACATATGCTGTTAAAAAATAAGACAAAAACTGAAAGTAATTTTTTAATCTCAATATCTAGGAGAGGGATTTAGCTAATTTGCGGGAGTCTTTAATGACTCCCGCAAAGGAAAGTCAAGGTGCGTGGGGAGGAGCAGGAGCGAAAGCGCACCTTAAAGTAGCTAAGTGACTCTAACTCAATATCATCAAAAATCTTCGACATTGAAAACACGAATTATTTGTCAATAGAAATCAACATTGGTCTTGTGATCTTACTGGGAAAAGATGGGCTTCTGATATCCAATATTCAAGACAAAATAAACATTTTACCATTGGTACATGAATCGTGTACCATAATGCATTTCAGCGCCATTTGGAACAAGAGACTCAAAGAACGCGGCTAGAGATATTCCACAAGTCATGCCAAATGGTGGATTACATGTCATTTCGGTCCCGCGTCATTTCGGACTTACGTCATTTCGGACTCCAAAAAATATGTCCCCGACATTTCGGACTCGGGTAGGTGACATTTCGGACTCGGGTAGGTGACGTTTCGGACTCGGGTAGGTGACGTTTCGGACTCGGGTAGGTAAGATAGAATTATACAACACACTGACGCCAATTTACTTTATAAACTATTTTATTTATCAACATAGCATAAAATGATAACATCGATTTATAACAACGGGCATATTATTTTATTTTTAAACATACCATATAGCGATAACAACGGTCATATAAAACATTCATTTATTGTATAAATACATACACATTCATACATTAACGCAACATTTATAACAACACGTGTATTTATTTGATGAAAAAATAGCTTTAGTCGGCTATTCATTTTTTTTTTTTTTTTTTTTCATTTTTTTAATTATGTAATTGTTTTTCACTGAGCGGGTGGACCATACAAATGACTTATTTTTTTTAATAGTCTACTAGTGCTCATCTGTTTTTCATTGTATGAATCCCATATATTAAAAAGTTGGCCTTCTACATGTCGATACCGACGTCTTTGGTGTCGTCTCAATGAACCTTCCGACATCATTGTGAGGTCCAGTGGTATCTTTGTAGCTTCTGAAAAAAGTGCGCAAATCAATAGATAAAATGGCACAGGACCTCTGGCGTTGACACGGGAATTTAGTCTGTTGTGCCAGCCCTCCACGTCGTTATTGGTTCTCACTGGCAACATAAACACGCACCAATAAATAACAATAACTTACAAGAAACGACAAATTTAAAACGTTTTAATAAATAACAATAACTTACAAGAAACGACAAATTTAAAACGTTTTAATAAATAACAATAACTTACAAGAAACGACAAATTTAAAACGTTTTAATAAATAACAATAAAGAAAATTTCATTACGTACCGGAATCGCAGGTTCGATGTTGCCATAAAAGACAAGAATCGCACTGGAGGCCTTCTTGTCGAGGACGGACAGGATTGGTACACTTTACGCAATTTCCACTAGCCATGATAGATTCGTGTAAAAATTGAGAATGATTTGAATTGAAATATGGCACATATATATAATACATTTGAGCTTGGGCTCAATCATTTCTTAACGGCTTCATTAATCTCAGCTTGCTTTCATTAATCAACACCAGATTAAATACGAGTTGCAGTGTTTTTATTTCTCAATCATTTCTTAGCGGCTATTAGAAACGCCGATCAGTGTTTTTATTTCTCAATCATTTCTTAGCGGCTATTAGAAACGCCGATCAATTATCGCTATTAATCTTAAATACAACAATGGGATGGTTTCACTAATCGCTGGATTCACTAATCGCTAGATTAAAACAACAATCGCGGATCGATTATCGTCAACAATCTAAACTAATTCATCGTCAACAATCAAAATTTACTCATCAAAATACAATAATATCCGATCAAGTAAATAAACAAATACAAAAAAGGCAAGTAGCATAGGTTTTACTTCAAGTTCAAGTTCAAAGGCGTGTTGTCAAGTAATGGCCTGTATGGGATAAATAAAACAAGACTAACAATGTTTAAATCTTTATTAATGTGAATGGTCTGTCTTGAGCCTCACCTACAACGAAAGAAAAACAGCTATTACTAATATATACACACATAATTTTAAGTTTTATTTGAGTCCGAGTCCGAGTCCGAAATGTCGCCGGTCCGAGTCCTAAATGTCGTTTGACTGAGTCCGAAATGACACCGAGTAAGTCCGAAAAGTCGCCATACTGAGTCCGAAACGACGTTTGTGCTGAGTCCGAAATGACGCGGGACCGAAATGACGTGCTACCAAATGGTGACGCTATATTCTTATCTGGAGAGCATGCGCAATAAATATCATCGGTGTAGACTGGAATAACCAGATGCTAAAGATTGCCACTCAATTGAGACTTCTGGCGTATTTCGCTGAACATAACTGATTAGTAATTACAGTAAAAACAGAAACGGTTGAATGTAAATCAGTTTATATACATTCACATTACATTGTTATATGTCTTGCGACCCATTTGTGTCAATTTCTAGGTCCCAAATATTAGCGATTTAGCTCCTTTAAATGTGAACGACTGGGATGTTAGATGTTAAGTCGTCAGATAAGAGTAACATATAACTTGTTGGATCAGGGAGGGACGTGACTTATTGCAATACGGGGTGGAGCAGGAGGCGGGTTCCAACCAACCCCTGTGGCATTGATCTCTAGTATTGAAAAAGAAGTTATTTTTCTGTCAGGACACAACAGAATTTTATTTTTCTGTGATAACACTAGTTAGTGATGGTCTGATATGGCACCTATCGGTTTTACTGATATCAGATACTGACAGCGAAATATATCGGCAGATACAGTTACCGATAGTGGTGGATATAAAACTATTACACACTAAAATGCCTCAAATGGAATGATAGTCTATGTAGATATTTGTCATTGTTAGTTGGAAAATACATGGCACTATTTTACCGCGGGAATCAAACACGAACGCTGTGTATATGAAGTAATAATTGGGTCACGCTTTCTACGCAATCAAAAATACACATCATCTATTATGAACTTAATTATTTACTGTATCATTAATAAAATTGAGATTATCATGTTTGAAGTGTTGATTACGATATAATTCCCTAGAGTGATCGTCACCTGTATGTCTATAATAGTTGTCAGAATGGTTCAAGCAATAGCTTCCTGACATTTTTGTCAACAGTGGCAATCATGTGACATTCTCCCGCCACTTCTAGAACTATTGTTAAAAATAAAACATCTAATGGGAACTTAATATTATTAATTAATAAAGCATGAGTTATTATTTTTTGTCACAAATTATGTCTAAATTTTTAAAATAGCCTAGCATGGCAATACAAATCACTGAATTATTTCTAAATTTTTATTGGCATCGAGAAGCCAGAATGTCTGACAGTAATCATGTGACTTCAAAGGGATAGCCCCCTCCATTTTATCCTTCATTCCAATCATGTGTAAACTATGTTTTATTTTCCCGTCTTTCCCAAAACTTCTACTCTACTCAATTATGATAGTGTTCAAACAATACCACAAGTGAACTAGAAAAAACAAAGGAAAATGATTTGGAAATTGGAAATATTTCACAATAAGTGACAGTGATCAAAGTAGGCCAAATGTAAAACTTGTGACTATTCATACCAGCCTGGTATGCAATGATGAGCCATTGTTGACATCTTCTTTAGTTTTATTATCGTGAATCATGATAGACAAATAACTACTGTGAGGACCATTGTTTATTTCATAATTCATAAATTGGTTATTACTTACCAGCAGAAACAATTTAAATAAAAAATTCAATAGCCTAATTAGGTATTGTTCTAGTGGCTATTTAGATAACGGAGACCGGTAACGATTTTGTAATGTTTATTCTTTCCTTTGTACGGCCCCTATAAGAGTCTTGTGTTACCGGTACCTCGAAATAGCAATGCGCAGGTACCGCGTGTCAAGGAAAATAATGATTTGTTCACAACTCAAATAATAATTTAAAGGTTATCCGAGTCGTTTTGAACAGATATCGGCAACTCCAGTATCGGCAAAATGGTTGTGTATTGGCTGATAGCAATTTCTCCCGATAGGCCACCTATCGGCCAATTACCGATGTTGAAACCAATTATCGAACCATCACTAACACTAGTAGTTCCATTACTTATGTCAAGTAGGTTACTTTAAACTTGACTAAGAATGCTAATGAGGTTTTTCTTTTCATGTTAAGTAGAGTGATAAGTAATTTGATTGCTCAGTTCTTTACAAAGGTATAAATGAGCAAGTTATTTATGAATGTCATCTACAATGTATTTGTTTCAGGGGCGTAAAAATCTTTTTTAATCCACTAGCTCAGAACTAGTAGTCTGCTGTCAGACACTAACCCGGCATTAATTTCTTTTACTACTAGTCTGTAGTTGGACAAGGTACAAGCTTTAATAGTAGCCTGCATGTAAAATAAAACATGATAAATGGAATAATTGAAGAAGAGTAGGATGGGAGGGCTAGTGGATTTTTACAACCCTGATTTGTCTTCCTATTTAGGGAACACCTGCCATCCTGTTTAATTATTATTAAAAATATGTTGAATACCGGTATCTAGCCTGTACATAATTGTATGTAAGTAAACAGGTTGTTTCTTACAAATAGTAATTTCTTGTTTCAGACAGCAGAACTGCGAAGTTTTTTAAAATCATCTGGAGCTGAAATATCGGGTGAAAATGCCGAGGCTGGACTTTTGGTTGACTTGAAAAACATCATTGAAGCCAGTGATATTTGCTGGAAAGAACTCAACAGTGATGCTGGTACAGATTCTATTGACTAAACATGAATTAAATACATATAGTTTGTAGTAAAATATTTATTTAATTTTTAATATCCTACCAGTGAAACAGAATTAGGACTGTAGGTTTTGCCCTTTTTTTGTTTTTAGACTGGGAGATATTTGAATAATTAAAACACAGCTGTATGTGGCGAAATTACAGATCTTATTGACAGAAACAGAAGGATGATGTCATTGACACCATCTTGAACAGGTGGAACATCAGTCAGTCGATGCATATTAGCCCGAGGAACATTCATGCCATATTTGGTGTAGTTCTTTCTCAATTGCTTTTTCAGTTTGGTGTTATGATGTCCTATCAAAAATGAAAGTGCATCACTCAATGAGCAATTGCCCCATAAACTTTGTGTAATTACCTCAATATGTTGACTAGCATTCATAATGACCATTTTAAGCAAGGTGATAAGCAATTTAATTGCCTTGTGCTTTATTAAAAGAAAAATTTTAATTAACATGTGTCATTTACATGTGTTTATAATCCTAAGAAGAAGAGGATAAAACCTCACACTCGAAAGGAAAAGAAGGGCAGAAGAATCCATATAACGGTCCAGATTGTTTTGTTATAACCAGCTGATGAAGGGAATATCGCCCGAAACGCGTTCTGGATAAATCCTTTTTATATCCACACAGTCTTGTCACTTTTGTTACCAAGGATTTTTTACTATAATTTATCTACATGTATTTATCTTGGGTTGGGATTAAGGTGTCAGACATCTGTCTTACTGTTGGCTTTTTGTTTCTATTACAGACATTGAAATGGTATTTAACGGTGTTATATCTTTGGTTTTATTACTACCACCCAATGAAGCAGAAAGTGTGGTTACACTGTTTTGTGAAAAAGTAGGAAAAGCTCCAGCAACAGACAAAAGAATAAACATCAGATTAAAAATGTAAATTGATTAGCTTATATTCAGTTATTTGAAATGTTATTTTTGTAATTAATACATGTATGTCAAGTGAAAATGACTCCCTTATATTCGACATCAAAATATATGCAATTGAAATTTCTGAGTATCCGTTTTAAGACAATTCTTGATAAATATAATCACCAGTGTTTCTGGTAGTGGTTAAAGATACATTATGTGAGATTCAATAACGAGTTGGCAGTTCTCACTATAATAGTTAAAATCTAGATAATGTAAAGGCAATTTGCTGAAAATTTCATTCAAATTGATCCACTATGAACCGAGAACAAAGCGATTGAATTTCCGCTTAGCCTTGATCAACATTACTTAAGTCAGTACGATAAACAGCATAGTCTCGATTATCCATTTAATCGTTAAATCACTAAGGAAAGTTATGCAGTAAATCGGCTCACAATCCACTAAAGATCGCAGACTAACGATGCCATCTAGAGTTGATTATGGTCTTCATAGGTTAATTAATGTCTAATTAATAATTTAGATAACATTTCAGGCCTAAAGAAAGACCTGCAATAGATAGATTTAGCTCTTGCATAATGTATGTTTAAGAATACACTTCATATATAATATCAACAATTTATATACATGTAAATCAATAACTAGATGAGATCAATTGTATTTGGTCTTTTTTATTTTCAGGTTGTCGAATCTGTTCCATGGTGTTGAAGCTTCTTCTCCATTACGTTATGTTGTATATCTAAGTCTAGTACGTTTAGCGGGACAGGCAGACATGTTGAGTATGGCACCTACAGATCTAGATGAGGTAGATTATTATTTTGATTCACTTTAATTAAAAAATTATATTAAACAAGTACGAGCTTAGTATGGACTAGGAACCAAGCATGTCGTTATCACAGCCATCTTGGAATTGTTACATCATACCAAAAATCTAAATCCTGTCGTTTGATGTCCATAGAAAAAGCATGCCAAGTTTCATGTCAATCGTACTTGAATTGGCAGAACCTTAGGCTTTTTTGAAGAGCATCGTCCTCAAGAAAAATAGCAAGATGGAAATGTATATCTGAATTTAATAAAAGCTCAGACAATTGTACTGTACACGTATTCAAATGATATTAGTATTCATTATTCTTTTTTCAGATAAAAGTATGGATAGCTAAATGGGACATCAGTGCACAGAAAGTACAGACATTATTAAGAACGCTTCACAATGCTTTAACACTTGCAAAAGCCATGTGAGTACATATATATAGTTAATTTTCAAAACTATAGACTGCTTATTTGCTAAGGTGCCATAAAGAGTGGGACAAAAGAACACAATTTTTATACGCCCACATTGAAATGTGGTCGTATATTGTCATCACCCCAATCCGTCCGTCTTTCCGGCTTCTACGATTTCTGGTGGACACTCTTAAGGCTAAAGTTAATACCTGATTGACTTCAAATTTATGCACAGTGTTTAAGCCATGAAACGAAGAAGCCTATTGATTTGCAGTGATTTCCGATAATTACTGCCAGAGTTATGGTCCTTGATCACTTTGAAAAATCTTGTGGACTCTCTAGAGGCTAAAGTTAATATCTGATTGATTTTGAATTTATGCACAATGTTTAAGGTCATGAGACGAAGAAGCCTATTGATTTCCAGCAATTTCCAATAATTACTGTCAGAGTTATGGCCCTTGATCACTTAAAAAAAGTCTTGTGGACGCTCTAGATTGATACACAAAGTTTAAGGCCTTGAGACAAACAAGTATATTGATTGTCAATGAATTTTGATAACTTGAACAGCTAAATTCATGATATTAAATGTTTTGTATACTAAACGTTAGCACGGGGCAGAACTTTATAAAAACCTAACAAATTCTAATGAACAAATTCAAATTCTATTGAGTTGTTACTCTTAATCAGATTTTAGTGTATCATTACCGAAAAAAGTAAAAATATGTGACAACTCCTGTTAACTGCCTGGACGATTTAGCTGTATGTTTTGTTGCCCGGCAACCTATCTTTATGTGATATTGATAAAACTTGAAATGTATGTTTACAATCCAATGATCTTGGTTCCTCTGTATATTTGTAGTAAAGACAAGTAAAACGAAATTTTGAACCATAAAAAATGAAACGAAAAAGGATCTGTGTTTTAATCAGATTGGTCAATACTCTACAGGTTGCAATGATTAACAGATTTTACAAGTTCAAATTCAGCATGTCAGTCATTTCAATAAAATGGTGGTACCTATTTATAATTGTTCCATATCCAACCCCCATGTGGACATATATTGCAGCATTAGCGATGCTCTTGTTACATTTAATCATCTTCTCAAAATGTATTCAAATCCGCGAAATATTGCAGGCTAGTGATGGCATTGAGAGTTGATTATGGTCTGGATAAGTGAATTAATGTCTAATTAATAATCTAGATAAAATTTCAGGCCACAAAAAAAAACCTATCAGGCAGATTTAGCTCTTGTATAAATAATGTATGTTTAAGTATTTATGCATAATACTAGTAACAGAATATTTTTGTTGACTTAAACTGTTAAATGCAAGAAAAAGATTGTGGTTTCCGGGAAGCATGTTCTACTAATATGTTTCTAATTTCGACCAGCAGACAAATGTAAAAGGAAATGATATATACTATTCAAAAAAAGTAGGGGATATTTGATTTTGGGGGCATAATACTAAAATATGCAAATGACTACGAAAAAAGTCACTATAGAACCTAACAGAAGAAACATTTCCAGTTACATGTGACGCCAAAACGCACCAATAGCTACCGCATGGAATGCAGGTGATGCTTGGGATCATCATGGGGGTCCAACCCAAGATTTGCACGACTCTGACTTTGAATGTTACAGTCATTGTGGCATTGAATTCCAGGGTGGAAACATCAGTTTAATTGTTTTAGTGACCAGAAAACAAATTTTGATATGCGTCGGCTTACCCAAAATGAAAGGTTACGTGCCCTTGGCATGCTACAGATCGGCACAACACAGGCGGTTATGGCGCGGACGATGAATGTTTCTCAGTCTGTCATAAGCAGGCTATGGTTCAGATACCGTGATACACAATCTGTACAGGACAGACCACGCTCACAGCAAATCAGATCAGCACTCGTCTTCAAACAGACACTGGTGTGAGAATGAGTGGCCAGACGATTCGGAATCGACTGCATAGGGGTCACCTTCGCGCCCGACGTCCTCGCGTGATCCCTTGTTTGAGAGATCATCACATTCAGGCAAGACGTCGTTGGTGTAGGGATCGTCAACACTGGGATAATCGACGCTGGAGCAATGTGATGTTTTCAGATGAGTCAAGGTTCACTGTTGATTTTTTGGACAGACGTAGGAGGGTGTGGCGTCGTCGAAACGAGCGCTTCCAAGACGTTAACGTCATCAGACATGATCGATTTGGGGGTGGTTCTGTTATGGTGTGGGGAGGCATCACTGTTGCTTGAAGAACGGCTTTACATGTTGTTGCAGGGCGTGTTACAGGCCAGTACTACCGGGACAACATCTTGGCAGTCCATGTTGTGCCGTTCGAACGACGTCATGGCCGCCGTTTCATCTTCCAGGATGACAACGCAAGATGTCACAGGGCCAGGATCGTTACAGGTTACCTCCAACAACAGAACATCACCACATTACCTTGGCCAGCACTGAGTCCCGACCTCTCCCCCATCGAGCATGTCTGGGACATGCTTGGACAGAGGTTACGTCAACGTCAACAACGTCCTGCCAATGTCCAAGAACTTGCTGCTGCGTTGCAACAGGAATGGGACAATCTGGACCAAAATGACCTTAGACGTCTCATTAGGAGTATGCCACGTCGGATCAATGCTTGTTTGGCAAACAGAGGAGGATTTACCCGTTACTGACTTGGTTGTGATGCTGTGGTAACTTTGCTGTTTGACCCCGGGTATCATTTTACCCTTATAATGGTCAGTCTGTGCCTTACTTAGTCTAACGATCATTTGGAATAAATCGATGAATGTGAACTTCATTTCATTTTGTCATTTGTTTCTTCGTCAGTTTCATTAGGTGACTTTAATAACACTTAAAAATCAAATATCCCCTACTTTTTTTGAATAGTATATTTCAAGAAAATGTATTTATTTTGATATACATTTATACTTTTCCTCGTGATTAAGTTTAACATAGGACTTTTGCAGTTTGTAATTATATTTATTCATAATAGTTGATATATTGTTTTTGCTTACAGAAATTCAACTAAAGTATTGATTGAGTTACTAGGAACATATACAGAAGATAATGCCTCACAAGCTAGAGAAGATGCTCATAAATGTATTGTAACTTGTCTAGCTGATAAAGATATGTTTTTAATGGATCATCTACTCACTTTAAAACCAGTTAAATTTTTAGAAGGGGAACTAATACATGATGTAAGTAAATAAAGATTATTGTTACATGGGTTACATATACACACACATTGCAGCAGGCATAATATAGAATTAATCATATTGCTGTAAGACAAAGAAGTGATTACAGTTCACTAAAATGTGACATTCAGAAATATTTTTTAACATTCTATGGATCAAAAGTTTCTTTGAGATTATTATTTAAAATCTGAAATGTCTTTTCATATTTTATTAATCAATACTGGATTGATTAACTCTAAATTGCTCTTTGATTTTAAAGTCATTGTCACATTTCCCACCATATCAAATTGATCTGTGGCAGAATTTTCATAGAACATACATGTACCCTAAAGTTCTCCTTTCTTAACTCATTTTAAAAACAGAATGATTACAGCGCAGCTTGTGTAGTGGCTACATGTATCTGTTGAACAAGAGGCATTTATATATACTATAAGTAGTAACAGAATATTTTTGTTGACTAAAACTGTTAAATGCAAGAATAAGATTGTGGTTTCCGGGAAGCATGTTCTACTAATATGTTTCTAATTTTGACCAGCAAACAAATGATATTTGAATATTGTTGATGTGTTATAATTATTTATTGTAGAAATTACTGTAAAGATTATATATATTTCAGCTTCTCACAATCTTTGTTTCGGGCAGATTAGCTCAGTATCAACAATTTTATAAAAATAACACAGATTTCGTCACATCATTTTTAGGTAAGAATATAGCAATGGTATTATAAAAGATTTCAAGAGGCTGAAGTCGATTGATAATCTTAAAATGTTGATAAATTATTTTCAATTTGATGTCCTTGTAAAGTCGGAATTAGATGGTATGAAAACTCTTAACCCTTTTATTGCATCTACCTGGTAGTACCGGGTATTATAAAATGTCGTTAAAATGTGTGTATCCGGTGATACCAGATACTCATTATGGTCCTCGCTAAAATTAGCACTCTAACTGCAAGTGCCATCTATTGTAATCTCTATACACTAGAACATAATTCCACGGGTTTCAAAGCAGCAAACCATAAAATGACGGAATGCATTGTGACAAGTAGACAATGCACTCTGGGTGAAGTCGTGAATGACATCTTCGCTGACCAAGACAGTGTGGACAATTTCGTAGCGGGTGATACACGTAATTCGTTTCCAATTAGTTGATAATGATAGTAGCCAGGACAGTGATTGGTAGTATGAAGTCTGCGATTTGTTGCGCAACGTTCCATCTATGGCTATATCTCTCGTACATGATGAACAAGCCCAGTGTGAACATGATAGCCCTATGTCTGCAGTAGATTCTGACGATAATTCTGATGTTGATAATAATGCTGGCCTGTTGGATCGTAATTAAGACGTAGGCAATTCCTGAGTCCCGAAAGTGTAGATCTATTGACTGCCTATAAAGATAATGATATGGGACTTGGGGATGAAAGTGAAAGTGATGGTAAAAACAAGGTATTGCACTCAGGACGTGGTCATGGCAGCGGGAGGCTTGGTCTGCGTGTTCCTGGTGGCATTGCTCGTGGCTGCTATTGATATTTTTGTTCATTGTCCCCTGCCTTTCAAAGATGCTTTGGCACACGATAACTTTAGTTCTAATTAAGTGAGAGTGATGAAACTTGGTGTATAGTTTCATTACATCAATACATTGACTAAGTTTGATAATGAGCATGTTCTGCTCAGGATAGGTAGAGCGATAAGCAATTTGATTGGTCAAGACTTTGGAACACAATAACTCTCATTCTAATTGAGTTAGAATGTTCAAACTTGGCGTAGGTGTCTATTAGGTGAATGCCTTGATGGATTTCGAAGATGAGAATTTTCTGCTTAGGGTAAGCAGAGATAAGCAATTTGATTCGGTGATGCTTTGGGACACGATAACTTTATTTCTAATTAAGTGAGAATGAGGACACTTAGTGTACAGCTTTATTACTTCAATACCTTGACTAAGTTCGATAATGAACATTTTCTGCTGAGGGTGAGCCGAGCGATAAGCAATATGATTGGTCAAGACTTTGGAACACAATAACTCTTGTTCTAATTGAGGTAGAATGTTCAAACTTGGTGTAGGCGTTCATTAACTGAATGCCATGATGGAGGTTGATGATGAACATTGTCTGCTTACGGTAAGCAGAGATAAGCAATCTGATTAGTTAATGCTCTGAGGCACAATGAATTTGGTTGTAACATGGATGGGAAATCTTCCTTTGTTCTTTTAGTTGAATAAGCAGATTGTTTTCCCTCTAGTAGATTGGGTGGAGCTTAACCGTGCAGTAACTAGACATGTTCAATGTTATTGCACACTTTTGCTGGTTTACACTAGTTTTAGCAGAAATCATATAGAGAAGTGGGGTGGGTTTTCTGTGCAATAACAATAAGCATGTTGAACAGTTGTCAATGTTACAAGACATTTATAGCACGCTTCATTCGTTAACAGGTTGAAACCTGTGAGAGTGACGAAACTCCAAATATAGATTAATTATTTCATTACCTTGGACTAAGTTCAATGGTGCAAATTTTCAGCTTAGTCTAAGGAGCGATAAGCAATTTGATTGGTTGGAACATAACAACTCTGCTTTTAATTGAGGTAGAATGTTGAAACTTGATGTAGATGTTCATTAGGTGAATGTCTTGACTGAGTTCATTAACATTTTGAGCTAAAGCTAGCAGAGCTAATCAATTTCATTGGTCGATGCTTTGGGACAAGATAATCTTGATTCTATCTGATAGAGTAATGAAACTTAGTGTATAGTTTGATTGCTCGATACTATGTGTCATCTATTTATTTTGAGATTTCGCGGGGGACATCTGCCTCACTGTTGGCTTTTTATACGCCCACATTGAAATGTGGTCGTACATTGTCGTCGCCCCCGTCCGTCTGACCGTCGGTCCGGCGTCCACAGTTGCTTGTGGACGCTCTAGAGGCTAAAGTTAATGTCCGATTGACTGTAAATTTATATACAGTGTTTAGGGCCATGAGACAAAGAAGCCTATTGATTTTCAGCGATATCCGATAATTACTGCCAGAGTTATGACCCTTGATCACTTCAAAAAATCTTGTGGACGCTCTAGAGGCCAAAGTTAATATCTGATTGACTTTTAATTTATACACAGTGTTTAAGGTCATGAGACGAAGAAGCCTATTGATTTTCAGCGATTTCCGATAATTACTGCCAGAGTTATGGCCCTTGATCACTTCAAAAAATCTTGTGGGCGCTCTATAGGCGAAAGTCAATATTCGATTGACTTTAAATTTATACACAGTGTTTAAGGTCATGAGACGAAGACGCCTATTGATTTTCAGTGATTTCTGATAATTACTGCCAGAGTTATGGCTCTTGATCACTTCAAAAAAATCTTGAGACTCTCTAGAGGCCAAAGTTATTATATCCTATTGATTTTAAATTTATACACCGTGCTTAAGGTCATGAGACGAAGAATCTTATTGATTTTCAGCGATTTCCGATAATTACTGCCAGAGTTATGGCCCTTGATCACTTCAAAAAATCTTGTGGACGCTCTAGAGGCCAAAGTTAATATCCGATTGACTTTAAATTTATACACAGTGTTTAAGGTCATGAGACGAAGAAGCCTATTGATTGTCAGTGATTTTCGATAATTACTGCCGGAGTTATGGCCTTAATCACTTCAAAAAACCTTGTGGATGCTCTAAAGGCTAAAGTTAATATCTGATTGACTTTAAATTTATACACAGTGTTTGAGGTCACGAGGCGAAGAATCCTATTGATTTTCAAAGATTTCTGATAATTACTGCCAGAGTTATGGCCCTTGATCACTTCAAAAAATCTTGTGGACGCTCTATAGGCGAAAGTCAATATCCGATTGACTTTAAATTTATACACAGTGTTTAAGGTCATGAGACGAAGAAGCCTATTGATTTTCAGTGATTTCTGATAATTACTGCCAGAGTTATGGCTCTTGATCACTTCAAAAAAATCTTGTGGACTCTCTAGAGGCCAAAGTTATTATATCCTATTGATTTTAAATTTATACACAGTGCTTAAGGTCATGAGACGAAGAATCCTATTGATTTTCAGCAATTTCTGATAATTACTGCCAGAGTTATGTCCCTTGATGACTTTGAAAAATCTTGTGAACGCTCTAGAGTCTAAAGTTAATATCTGATTGACTTTAAATTTATACACAGTGTTTAAGGTCATGAGACGAAGAAGCCTATTCATTTTCAGTGATTTTCGATAATTACTGCCAGAGTTATGGCCCTTGATCACTTCAAAAAACCTTGTGGATGCTCTAAAGGCTAAAGTTAATATCTGATTGACTTTAAATTTATACACAGTGTTTGAGGTCACGAGGCGAAGAATCCTATTGATTTTCAAAGATTTCTGATAATTACTGCCAAAGTTATGGCCCTTGATCACTTTGAAAAATCTTGTGGACGCTCTAGAGGCCAAAGTTAATATCCGATTGACTTCAGATTGATACACAGAGTTTAAGATCTTGAGACGAACAAGTATTTTTATGACTTGGAACAGCTAAATCCATGATACAGTATTAAAAGTTTTGTATACAAAACGTTAGCATGGGGCAGAACTTTATAAAAACCAAACAAATTCTAATGGTTTTCTGAGTTGTTGCTCTTAATCAGATTTTAGTGTATTATAAATGTTTCCTTACCGAAAAAAGTAAAAATATGCGACAACTCTTGTTGACTGCCCAGAGGATTTAGCTGCTGTGGGCGTATATTTCGTTGCCTGGCAACCTATCTTTTTATATATCCTTTCAAAATCCAGTGATAAAAACAATATCCCATAAGTATTTCATGGAGAAAAATTTGTTTTCGTCTTAGCTTCAGTGAAAAATCCAAAATGGGCTACATGATTATGCAAATTTCCAAAATTCTATTTTTTCCTCTTGGCCCTACCTTATGCCCACCCCAACACACAAAAAGAATTTCCATAAAAGCTTCCATAAGTATTGTTTGGCATTTAGTGCCAAATCCCCTTTTTTCCTCAAAAAAGGGTCTAGTACAGGCAGTGGATTTACGTCTAGCATTGAAAGGATTAAGACAGATTGGCCAACTGATGGCTGAAATGTAAAATTCATTATTATGAGTCCCACAAGTAGGTCAGGGGGTGGATTTTCAATAATTAGTTGAGTCTAAGACTACCTTCAATATGATACTATGTAATATTAAGTATTGTCATTGTTTACAATATTAAAGATGAATATGGGAGATGAGATAAAGAGTTCACTGCTCTCACTATAAAAGTTAAAAAATAAATAACATAAATAGAATATGCTGAAAGCTGTCTAGTCATTCGGATGAGACGAAAAACCAAGGTCCCGTGTACACAATGGCTTTCACGTAAAAGATCTCTTGACAGTTGGAATTCGATATAAGAGTAGGCCGTATTGCCGCTGTCCGGGCAAAATTTCCCCCATAGCACACTGTATGGCGTATGCCCGTCTTCATTAGCCCAATATTTCTGTTTTGGGGGGCTTATATTAAAGAAAAGTCTGCGCTTGAAGAAGAATGTATATTTGAATGAGACTGTTATATTGCAGGTTTATCACATGAAGATAATTTACAGAAGATGAGAGTTTTAACTTTTATGCAGACAGTAGAGAATAGAAAAGAAATAGATTATTCTACTATAGAGAAAGAAATGCAGATAGATGAAGTTGATGTTGAAGAATTTATTATCAATGGTAACACATAGTTTATAATAATTCAGTAGGGTATTATAATCTCAACATGATCAGAATTGTCTGACTTTCCCTAACATTTCTTATGGGCAGATGGTCGTAAAAGAGTCAACAATTAATCCCTGTTTTTCCAAACCTTCGAGGGGTTAAGCATCCAGAGATCTTTGACATATTTGCATGGATTCCCTTGTTTAACCACTTGCATAATACAAATCCATGTGTTTACCTTTTTTTCCAACAAAGTTCTTTCTAAAACCATATTAATTTTCAAATATTGCATGTTGGCAAAAAATGTGTGAGATCAATAAACAACTTTGGATAAGTAAGGTTGGAGATATATCTTTCAAAAAAAATGCATAATGAACAGTGCATAATGTAAGGTATGGTCAAGCATGGGATATGAGTGCAAATTAACAAAATAAAAAATACATGTACTGTCAAAAAAAATGAAAACAGAGTGGACACCATTTCCTGAAAACATTGAGTCAATGTATGATTCTTATCAATTATCAGCATTATTATTTGAATAACAATTGTAGCAATTTATTATAACTATAAGAGTTATCGTCTGTCCTTATGGTTGTCATAGAATCATATCAATGACATGATATTGTACAGTATACAGTTTTACTTTATATTTACTGATTCACAATGCAACAAAGTTTTATGAATTTCTTGAATGACTTGTCTGCTGTGGGTGTATCTTTCAAAATTGTTAGTTGTATACTATTGTAAATATGTGTACAGCATTGTCATAATCATACTTTATGTTCATTTCAGTTTTGAGGACGAAAACAGTTCAAGCCACAATTGACCAAATGCAGAAAAAAGTGATAATAAATTGGACAACACATCGTACATTTGGAAAACAACAATGGCAACTACTGCGACAAAAGTTGGCCAGTTGGCAGACTAATCTGTCTAATGTAGAAGCCAGTCTGCATTCATTAGCGGCCATGTCCCAAACACCTGCATCGTAATATTATTTAATATAATGACTATCAAAATGGATAAATAGTTTAAAACCACACTTGTTTTATCTTTCAAATTATCCTTACAAACTAAGAAAAAAAGCCAACAGTGCGGCTGATGTCCCCCGCCGAAATCCCATAATAAACAGATGACACATATTAATTAATTGCACATTTATCTTTTTCAAAAGCATTAAGTAATCAAACTGATTTTCTATGCCACAGGTAGTACCGGGTATTATAAAATGTCGGTAAAATGCGCGTACCCGGTATTACCATGTACTCAGTAAAGCCCTCGCTAAAATTAGTACCGTAACTGCAAGTGCCATCTATTGTATTTTCCATACACTAGAACATATTTCCACATGTTTCAAAGCGGCAAACCGTAAAATGGCGGAGTGCATAGTGACAATGTAGACGATGCACTCTCGGCGAAGTCGTGAATGACGTCTTGCTGACCAACACGTGGACAATTTCGAGGCGGGTGATACACATAATTCGTTTCCAGTTACTCGATAATGAAACTAGTCAGGACAGTGATTGGTATTATGAAGTGTGTGATTTGTTGCGCGACGTTCCGCCCATGGCTAGCTATGTCTCCCGTGCATGATGAACAAGCCCAATGTGAACACGATAGCCCTGTGTCTGCAGTAGATTCTGACAATAATTCTGATGTTGATAATAATGCTGGCCTGCTGGATCGTAAAAGACATAGGCAATTCCTGAGTCCCGAACGTGTAGATCTATTGACTGACTATATTGATAATGATATGGGACTTGGGGATGAAAGTGAAAGTAAAAACAAGGTATTACAATCCGCACGTGGTCATGGCAGCGGGAGACGTGATGCGCGTGTTTGTGGCGGCATTGCTCATGGCTGCTATTGATATTTTTGTTCATTTTATATATCTTTATCAAAATCCAGTGAAAAAAACAATATCTTTTAAGTATTTCATGGAGAAAAATTCGTTTTCGTGTTAGCTTTAGTGTGAAATGAGAAATCCAAAATGGCCGCCATGACGTCACGTGACTACATTATTATGCAAATTTCCAAAATTCTATTTTTTCCTCTTAGCCCAACCCCATGCCCATCCCAACAGACAAAAATTTTTTTCATAAAAGCTTCCATAAGTACTGCTTGGCATTCAGTTCCAACCTCCCTTTTTTCCTCAAAAAAGGGTCTAGCACAGGCAGTGGATTTACGTCTAGCATTGAAAGGGTTAACAAGGTTTATCAGCTGCCATTTTGTTTTGACTTGTTGACGACATTTCGTCTGCTATCATCTCACAATACTCACTAGTTTAGCACTTCCCGCCGTTTTTATTGCCAAGGAGATTTCATTTGATTCCTATACAGCTTCCAATGTAATTAAATTTGTCATTTTACAGCGTTAATAATTACAAATCAACCCTGAAGCGCTAGTGGGAAATATTAATCGTTGAACTCAGTCAAGACATTCGCCAAATTAACATCTATACCTCAATAAAAGCAAAGTTGTTATGTTCCATTGTCTTGATCAATCGAATTGCTTATTGCTACTTTGCCTTAGCAGAAAATTCCCATAATCGAACTTAGTCAATGTATTGATATAATGAATCTGTACTCAAGAGTTTTCGTCGCTGTCACCCAATTAGAACCAAAGTTATTGTGCTCCAAAGTCTCAACCATTCAAATTGTTTATCTCCGCTTAGCCTTATTGGAAAATACGCATGATTGAACTCTGTCAATTCATTCACCTAATAGACACCTACACCAATTGTGAACATTCTACCTCAAGTAGAAGGAAAGTTATTGTGTTCCAAAATCTGAACCAATCAGATTGAAGTCTCTAATTTGCCTTAGTAAAAAATGCTCAGCATCAAACTTTTTTAAGGTATTGATGTAATGAAACTGTAGACAACTATCACTCAATTAGAATCAAAGTTGTCAAGCTTCAAAGTCTTGACCAATCAAATTGCTTATCGCTCTGCTTACCCTGAGCCAAAGATGCTCATTATCAAACTTAGTCTAGGTATTGATGTGATGTAACTATGCACCTAGTTTAGTTAGATAGTTATCGTGTCCCAATGCATCAACCAATCAAATTGCTTATCTCTCCTTAAGCAAAGCAGAAAAGGCTCATCTACGAACTCTATCAAGGCATTCAGCTAATGAACACCTACACCAAGGTTGAACTTTCTACCTCAAGGGTTAATGTGTTCCAAAGTCTGGACCAATCAAATTGCTTATCGCCCTGCTTACCCTCAGCAGAAACTTCGCCAGGGTATTGATGTAATGAAACTATAGGCCTACACTAGGTTTAATCACTCTAACTTAATTACAACTAAATAGTAAGTGCAGGAGGACTGCACCACACATAGAGTCCATTGTGTAATGCCAGCATGAGTCATGATCTGCTATATGCTACAAGAAATATGAATGTAAGCATATTGAAGTAAAAGTTACCTATACAAGTAACCATATTGGTGAAATGCATATATATATATATATATATACAGGGGTGGATTGGGGCTGGGAACCGGGAGGTCCGGGGGCTCTCCCCCCTGAAAATTTTGAAAAATGAACCCCAAATATGCGATTTGGTCTCATATCTGATTATAATCTGTCAAATAATATATCTCATAAATCGATTAATTTAGGCCAAAACCCCGACCTGCAGGTAATTTACAACCATCGACCTGTGAAATTATCATATCGTCATATTATTAATTAACGTATTATCATTGTATCGTCAAGAGTCAAGAGAATTTAACTGGTTAAAAAATGGGACTAGTTGAGAAAATTTTGACCATTTGGTTAACCAGTTAGGAATATTGAATAAGTAGGAATATTTTCATTAAAAAATGTCTCATTTTTGTGCCGGGAGCTGGCGGGAGCACTAGTTGATTCCTCCTGTGAGACACATTGGTACAGAGTGACTAAAGTAAAATTCATGAAAGCTGCTTTTTGAATTTTGGATTTGTTGTTCCAGGTAAATTATTTTACCTTGACTCCGAACTTGAACATTTGACACACTAGTCTAAAACTAAAAGTTCTAAGAAACATTTTTAGTATTCAATAGAATTGAGGTATATTGAATATAGTTAGGGCATTTATGTTCCATTTACCATAAAAACAGTAAAAAAACAAACAATACTGAATACAAAGAAGCAAATGAGAAAATGTAAACCTTCTCGAAAGACCGCCATCTGCTGACTGAATGACGTGACGTAAAAGGCGGTAGGCAAAGCCTTATAGGTAAGGTTGCGACAACTGTGAAGCCAGAAATTTCATATGACGTTATGAAAATAAGAAGTCAAGTGTACAAAGGCGCCATCTTGGGTCCCAACAGGGATGTTGATAGATATATATCATAGATTTCTGCGAAAAAGAGAGAGAGAAATGAGTTTTAAAGTCCACTCGACACAAACTAGGTCATTTCGGGACTAACATATGGTTCAATTTATATTTCAACAATTCGCTTCCGCGTAGTGGTCTTTAGCAGTGAAAGGAAAACCGGAGGACCCGGAGAAAACCCACAAGGTTGGATAGGCGACCCTACTCCTTGTCACGTACAACCGGGGAATCGAAACAACGCCAGTTGACTCAATGACAGGCTTTATGATACAGCACTCACATGCTAACCATTCGGCCACCTACCCCCCCCCCCCCCCCCCAAACCCTGCAAAAAAGACTATAGGAGATAAAACATACATTTTTTAAACGAAAAGTATAGCTCACATTATTGTTTAGATAACAAACCTCATCTTTCAACCCTCCGTGTTTCGAGATAAGAGATGGTGCTATATAGTTCCACGTAGCGAAGCCCAACGCAAACACATCGGGCCTCTGTAAGCAAAATTGACAATATTTTTTTTCATCAAAAGGACGATTGATTATTGTTATTTATAATATATCTGCCACATCCAATTACAATTAAGCATATAATCCTACCTGAAAAGTGTATAAAGCATCGTATTTAAAATCGAGGCGTTAAGTCGTTACTAGAAACGCCATTCTTAAACGGAAGGTGTATGTCGGATTAAAACAACGCTTCATTTAATGTTAAACTCGAATATTTGGAGTTAGGTGATAGTTGTGCCACTACATTGGCCTCTATAAGTTTAATTAGTCATAATAGTATACACTTATCTTATTTTTAAGATGTTACACGCATTAGTAAAGAAACTGAGTTTGCCACTTGTAACTAAAGGCACCCAATCGTAGCTAAAAACAAGCACATCAGTATCTCAACGTTTTTAGCTACGTTCGCGTAGCTAATTATTGTTATATAGCCTAATTCATAAGAAAATAAAATAGAAGATACACCAGATAAAAGCGCTATTAAATATATTTAACTTGTATATTTTTTGTGCAGACGGATTAAGTGAATTTGTTTGTGGTAAGATGCTGTCACTCCCCGCTTATGTGTAAATAATAATATTAATTTATTTACAAAACTATGGTTTATCCCAACTACAGTGTAAACATGGTTTAGAGACTGTATATGAAATACAGGGTACACAATGTTTTAGAGACAACAGGGTAGATTATGGATTAGAGACTTCGTCTGAACTACAGGGTACATCGAACTATAGGGTACACCATGGTTTAGAGACTATCCGAACTATAGGGTACATGCTTGTTTAGAGGGACTATGTTTATCCCAACTACAGTGTAAACATGGTTTAGAGACTGTATATGAAAAACAGGGTACACCATGATTTAGAGAACACAGAGTAGAGACTATCCGAACTATAGGGTACATGCTTGTTTAGAGGGACTATGTTTATCCCAACTACAGTGTAACATGGTTTAGAGACTGTATATGAAAAACAGGGTACACCATGTTTTAGAGAACACAGAGTAGATTATGGATTAGAGACTTCGTCTGAACTACAGGGTACATCATGGTTTAGAGACTATCCGAACTACAGGGTACATGCTTGTTTAGAGGGACTATATCCAGGGGCGTACATAAAGATTTTGTTTCGGGGGGGGGGGGTGTATAGCAAAAATGCCACCGACTGATGTCCCTAATATGAGTGACGTAGTCAGGGGCCGAGCACCACAGGTGA